AAGTTGCAAGGGAAGTTGGGCTTTTCCTAAAATCTTGCTAGAACAATACTAATCTCTTGACCTGGGCCAATTCTTGTGCCATGAATTGTGCTAGGCCAATGGACAATTTTAGGTTTTCAGAATCATTTTCATTAATTTTTTTATTTATTTTATCTTTTTATTTTACATTGGACAATTTTGTAATTTTTTCTTTTATTTTAGCTATTTATTTAAGTGTGAACCCTAACTTATTTAGTTGTTTTTTTTATCAAGTAAGATTATTATTGAGAACTGTAGCTACTCTAAATCCTAATTCATTTTTGTTTAATTTTTTTTTCATAATTTTGACATTACATATCATTTTCAAACATACCCTTTGTCGTCCTTGGATTATGTGAAGATTAAGAAAAACTAAATTTATTAACAACTACTTTCATGATTTAGTATTCAAAGCTTTTACAATTTTTTTAGTTTAAATTGAATATATTACCATCATAAACTTTTTTGCATATCCAATAATGATGTGTTAACACCAGTGTTATTAAACTTGGACTAATAATCGACATGGTTGGGGTACTCTGTCAATAGTCACTAGTTAACTAGTAAGTTACTTGGTCAACTTGAATGAATTTAATTTATTGAATAATATATAATAAATATAAAATTAGAAATACTATTACAAATATAGAGAGTTGGTTTAATGGTAAGAGTCGAATGCATCAACCTGAGCTAGGTTTTAATCTTAGCACTCCAAGTTTTCAAGTGAACAATCGGTCTGGTTCGATTTTCACAATATTAGTTAACACATACGAAAAAGTGATAAAATCTGGAGAAACAGCGAGCAATTATAAGTTTATAACTTCTAACCCAACCTAAACTATGGATGAACCACGAATCAAGATTGTCGATAGGCTTTGAGATGTAATATGTTTCCTTTCTACCTCATGCCTTTTCTTTCTTACAATTTTTAGTTATCTATGTGAAGTAACGCACAAGTAAAAAGGATTATTTTATAATGTTCATTATTTTTGAAGAAATTATTTTGAGCTAAAGAAGTATAAGGGCTTTACATTTAATGGCGTTAAAGAGCGACTCCAAGCATATATTGTTCAATACTTACTAATCTTGCCATAAGCCTTTAGGGCTTATATGACAATTATCTAACGAAGTCAAATGATTAGTCCGTATATATGTCTTTAGAAAATTACTTTTCGGTAGAATAGTTAAGTTAGTAATATAATAGCTCCAGCCTAATTAATTAGTAAATTACATGTAATTAAGTAATTAAGTATTTATTAGTGAGTAAAATTAAGTACAAGGCCTAATTAAATGAATTAGGGTCACTTTTGAAGTAAAAAGTACTGTTAGTGAAAATTATGGAGTAAAAATGAGCGTAGGCAAAAGTACCCAAAATATAAAAATAAAATTGAAAATATTCCTAGAAAAATATTCCGGACCTTTGGGTAAAATTTGAAAGAGAACGAAGTTGAGTAGATAGATGAGCTCATATCCAGTTAAAGTCACTTAATCTATGTTAAGTGACCAAAGCTAATGAAAACACATTCATTCCTCCTTCTTCCTGTCGACAATAGAGAATGAGAGGGAAATGAGACCATTGGAGAGCAAACCCTAGTTCTATCATCTCTTAACCGATTAGAGTAATTCAAAAGCCTAAACCACTTAGAATCTTCCTCTCATCCTTAATCCTAGCTTGGTTTTGAGTGGGGAGCATTGTGGTGTGAGATTTCTCTTCCCAAAATTTCGCCTCCTTTGAAGATTGAAAGGGTTTGGGAGCATTTCACTTCTTGGGGACTTAGGAAGCACTCATTCTATGGTTGTGCAATCATTTGTGGTAAGTTTTCACTCCTTAAGTTTGGATTTCATGGAATTTGTAAGATGGAAGAAGATGATGAATAGTGTCATTGTGAGTAATATGAGTATGGGTTTGATTTAAGCTTAAGCCCTTCGTAAAAGTTGTTAGGAATGATAAATAAACGGTAGAAATGGATTTAGATTGTCATTTGGTTGTTGTTCAATGTATTAGAAAATTCATGCTTGGGGTTTGTGAGTTTTCTAGCATTTTGAGCAAATTGTAATTTGGATGGTTGATTGTATCCTTGTGTTGCTAGGATTGAGGCAAGTGGACCAACTTTGAGTGACCACTCATTGGAGCAAGCTATGGAGCTTGATTAGCCCATTTGGATAGGTGTGTATTTTGCAAGTTGTAGCTTGAATTCAAAGTTGATTGTTGCAAAACTTGTTGGTGAGCACAGGTTGAATTGGAGCTTTGAGGTAAGCCTTCGGACCTTGGGAATTGATTCCTTAATTGTTCCGCCAAGCCCTGAATGGGTAGTGGTTATTAATAGTGTTGTATACTCAATAAGGTGGTTTAATGCTATTATATATATGTTTATGCATTTTGTGTGGCATAGGATGATGTTTCCCTATGTTTTGTATGTTGCATGACGATGCGTAATTCATACTTAGTAGTTTAGCTGGCCAGTAAGACTATTTTGCATCTGAGTATTCTTAGGACGGCATGAGAGCTTGAGGCATGTTTCCTGGATATGTTTTTACACATTGCATGGATATGTATTTACTGCATTATTTACTGATTATTGCTATTATACTATGAGTGAACTATGGAGTGGAGAGATGCTCCAAGGACCCCTGGTTTACTGAGATGTATTTATATATCTCACCCCGTATTGTGGGGACCCCCTTTCAGGTAAAGATGTTGCAGGAGCCTCGGATGGCAAGTGGCCATATTTGGACTAGTTGATACATGAAGATTTTGCATCATTTTGGGTTATGCATGCCATGTTGTAGTTCCTATGTACAGGATTGATATTTGAAAGCCATTGGTTATATGTATGTCATGCTTTATTTTGATGGACTTATCCTATGCTCATCTCCTTTGGTATCTCTTTTGTTGAAGGGAGCCAAAGATTTGATCATAGTGTTTTGTATCTAAGTCCCATGATTATGTATTAAAGACACTTGGATATTTTGCTTATTGTATATATATATGATGGAAGGGCATGAATGCTTCTTTTGATACATGTCTACCTTGAAATGACTAAGAATCATGTATTGAAGTGGTTGTATGTTGTCCATTAGTTGACAGAAGACCTCTAGGTTGAAAATCCATGTAAAAATAAAGATTTCATGTCTTGTTGCCAATTTTTATATCCTATATGATAGATTGGGACCATTGTGCCTTGATGGAAGTTGTATATCTTTTTCTTAGCTTTCCAACGAGACCAAGATGGCATCGATCGGATAAGTATAACTCCAATTAGGGGTAAAATACTAAGGCTAGGTGTAATCTCCTGAACCTTGGCGCTATTAGCGCCGTGGTGGCGCTAATCGCGCCAAGATACAGTGGTAAAACACATTTTTGGCGCCATTCGCGCCAAATGTCTGGAAAGCTTCTGTTTCGTGGCGCTAATCGCGCCGGTATGGCGCTAATCACGCCGGGTCTAGTGGGTTCAGCACTCGTTTCGTAGAAAATTCATAACTTGGGCTACGGTGCTCTGATTTGAGCGCGGTTTGAACCTACATTTAGATAACGAAGAGATCTATAACATATTGGAAGATGGGGATCATAAAAGTAGTATAGGAATTTCTTAAATAAATAAAGAGTGGAGATGTTTAGTGTTTAACAACAAAAAAAATGAGTTTATAAGCCTTGTTGGTCTAAGGGGACTACTTGGCACACTAGGGTAGCAACGTATGGTTTAAATAAAATTACGTTAGGTGTTCCACACATAGTTTAAGTTATGATGACAACTATTGGAATTGTTTTAATTACGGATTTAATTTTAAATATAAACATTCACTAACGCAAAAAGGAAAAAGTTTATCCGTACTTTAATTCAATTGTTGTGATTGTAACTGCGCCTAATGTCATACGCGATGTTAACAAACCAGTTCTAGAACGGATTGTTACAAGTAAAATATAAAATCTGAATAGCATATATTTGTAACGTATTTCCTTTCTGTGGGGGATGTTGCTTATAATTTATAACTTTTCTATTTTTGTGATTGAGTAAAGTTTTTGTTAAACCAATTGTTGAAGTAATGCACAATAAATTTAAGAAATTAACATACATTTCCTATTGGCATTTTCTGGTTATATATATTGATTGTTGGGAAAAGTGTGTCATTGTAAAGGATGTAAAATTATATCATTTTAAGAGCAAGATAAAGAGATAAATCATAAAAGAAATATAGTGGACAAAAAAATAAAATAAAAGTGTAGATCTCACTTCTTTGTGATAATAAAATAAGACAAGTTGTGTCATTAGAGGCACATCTCCATTGATTGTTTTATGTCCTAAGAAGCTACCTAAAACCATAAGCGTTCTATTACATTTTTGGAGTGTAATGACAGTGCGCAAGAACGCCTGAATGCACCACTCGTGTATTGGTTACTCTTAGGGTGTGTTTGGTACAAGAGAAATTTTTGTGTGTCCGGAAATCATGATATCCAGTAATATACCAAGAAATCCAATTTACCGGGAATGATATAAAAAGGTTGTTTGGTAGACATAAATATTATCGGGAATATTTAATAATTTTACTGAGTATATGTTTAGTTGTGAGTAAAATATTGCTGGTAATATATATTGATGTGTGTTGGGGGTATTATTGTCTAAAAAATATGTTATCTGCTTTCCCTTCTCTCAGTAATCATAAAAACTGCCTAATTTTTGGTAATCCAAACAGTAATTTTTCTTTGTAAAATGTTTTACCGGTAAAGCTTGGATACCCAGGAATTGATTTTTGATACTTCTACCAAACATGGGAATCGATGTTTACTAAAAAAGGTTTACCGGTAATCCTTCTGATACCCTTATACCAAACACCACCTTAAGGTTACAAGGACCTCATTTAAGGTTAAAATGTTAAAACCTAAACAAGAAATTAATTGGAACTTCCTTTTCCCAAGTCACCACCCATTCAAGTGTGGGGTGCAGGACCATTCTTCGTGGTACATAGACGAATTTGGTAATTAGTTAGACTCTTGGAGGAGGAAGTAGCCATTTGGAGGCCTGAAGCATGCCAAGCGTTACGTAAGGTTTGACCTCCGCGAAACTTAGTTTCTTTGTGATTGAGGCACGCCCACTGACATCTGCACCGGGTCCCTTGTTTTGGTACTCTCCAAAATATGCAGATCTGCACATAATGTCACGAATTAATCACATTATGCTCATGCACTCGTATTATGTTTCTATATGATGATGGATTTTACAGCAATGTCAAATGTTGGAGTAATGTTTGAGTCTAATGGTCAATGTGGCACAAATCTATATAAAAAGATGACTAGTATTATGGATAATGCTACTTGATTATATTTGTTCACATATTACTCATGGAGGTACATGTTAAGTATATAGTTATAAATGCAGAGATGTAACAGAACCATTACTCATATGTAGAATTGAATTAGCAAGCTACCTGTCATATTCTGGGTGATTGTTGTTACTCCACCCTGCTTTATTAATAACATTGCTCATAGTGGTGTAAGCGAAGATCACTTTGGGATGAGACATCCATGCTCTTCCCAAGTAAGTGCCAGTTCCAGTTCCAGTAATATGGCAATGCACAAATGAGTAGGCACTGTCCTCTGCCTCACTTTTTCTTGCTTGTGCCACTATCACTGTCATCCCATTGTCACCAAGCACTCTCAATTCAGTGTTCTGCATCATAAAATAAATCCCCATTAGTTACTACAATCACAAATTGAATGAAACAGCTACAAATATTGCAGTTCATGAAAAATTATATTTACCAAATATAGTGACTTGCCACTTCCAAAAATAAAATCCACAGTGCCTTGAATGAAGCAGTTTTTGAAAAAATGCCTATTCCTATCATCACAAATTGTGTCCTGGAATCCAAAAAACTTGCAATTATAAAACGCTGCTTTGTCACCAGAAATTCTTAGAGCAACCGCTTGAGCTCCTGGCCTCTTTCCATCAGGTCTTGGTGCTGAATTCTATACCATCAAATTCACAAAGCAAAGAACACAAATAATCATAAGAAATAGTCCAAAATCAAATGGTAAAGTATTTGGCTTTTATTTTGATTAATGTTGTTTTTAAGGTAGATGGTATACAAACCGAGATTATGATGTTAGAAGCCACAAAATAATCTGATTCAACAATCAATGTAGCACTGTCAACAGTGCCATATTGTTGTGCAGTGCCCCCATAGGTCAAGTTCGGCATGTTCCCTGGTGCCCCATAAAATGTGACAAAAGGCTTTGTCCTCTCAATTTTGATTTTCTCATGATAATTTCCTCCTCCAATGTAGATAATGACACGCTTTGTGTTTCCAATAGGGATGCTCTTAATGGCATCAGTGATGGTCTTGAAATTCCCACTGCCATCTTGCATGACCTTAACAACCCTAGCACCAGCCTCTGCAGCAACTAGTCCAGGGTCCAAGCTCTTGCTTTGTGCCAAGGGCCTCACATTGTTATTGAACCATGTTCTCACTTGGGCCTTGTCAGCTGGAATTGGCACATTGTCATCGGATAAAACAACACTAGCTGTTAGGAGAACAACTATGAGACCCACTTGAATGCTAGAGCTTCTCATTTTTGAGAACATATTTCCAGTTTTTAAATTTTTTTTTCTTGTGTGAATAGGTGATTGATGTTGCAATTTATAAGACACATTGAACAAGTGAGATGCCTAAATTTTTTAGACTTTATTTAGAGAGCTGTTAATTAGATTCACCCATCTTTTGTTAGGAAGCTAAAATTGAACATGGGTTTGAAGTTCATTGGATTCTGAAATAGATTGTATTTTGGTTGAAGATAACTTGTTTAAGGTTTTGTAGTTTCTAACCATACGCATTTGCAAGCAAAAATTGAATTCAGTTTAGTACGGTGAATCTAGGCCATGAATTGAATTCGGAAACAGTGAGAGGAAATCTCTCGTGGCTTGTCTTAATTTAGAATGTTGTTATGTTGATGTAAGGATTCAGTCGTTTGAAACTCAGCATCAAGCAAAATGGGTTGATACGTAACGGTATATTCACGTAACATGAATATGACACATTCTACATGAATTTTTTGGGAATTGACGTAATACGACACAAATGACTCATATAAATTATGGGTAAAATGAGAATTGACAAAAACAAAATGGGTCGAAATTAAAAAATATTAAAAAAATAATAATAAATAATAAAAATAATTTAAAAAATACTGGTCGATATGAATTTAACACGACATGTTGCGAATTTTTTACGGATCATTTTTTTCCAACACGACACGAATTTATTTGGGAATCAACTCGAATACAAATTTTCTATCATGTCACATATCGACTAGCATGTCATAATCTATCTTGTCACCCTTAATATATAGTATATTTAACTTTTATCCAAAAATTTATGAGTTTGCGAGTTTTCGACAATTCAACATCGAATAGTTCTTAAATCATTTAATATAAGTTACTGGCTAATTGGCAATCCATAGTGCGTCGCGTTATAACTTTTATATCTTTTAAATATATTAATAGATTATGAAAAGATAAATACGTAAATTAAATTACTTCTGTGAAATGTTTATTTTTACACCATGAACTATGAAATCGAACCTTGTCTAAATAGTAAAATGGAAAAGAAATCAATAGCAAGCATGTTTGAAATTACAAATCCTGATAATTGATTTGATTTGTATTTGTTATTAATATAAGAGTAAATATCATTTTGGGTCTTTAACAAAAAATACGGAACCCATTTTAATCTCTTAGGAAAAAAGTATCTATATTAGTCATTTTTGAATTTTGAGGGACTAATGTGAGTCTTTTTTAAATTTCTAAGGGATCACAATTTTAAAGGATTGAAAATTTAGAGGAAGCCGACTTTTTTTTTTCTAAGCGATTAAAATGAGTTCCGTATTTTTTTGTTGATAACCCAAAAGAGTATTTACTCTTAATATAAATTAAGGGGCATATTGGATTGATATTTTAAAGGGTTTTAATGGATTCCTTTTGAACAAAAAAATCCATTGGTATTCAATTAGGGTTTTAAAGGATTAAAAAAAAAGTCACGTAGTATTCAATTAAGATTTTAAAAAATTATTGTAGAGTCTGCCCAAATACGATGGTATTAAATCAGGATTTTAAACAAAGAAAAAATAATCTTGTGATATTTAAAAATATGATGATTTTAGTGAATTTTCTATTGGTGTGAATTTCGTCAGACTTTTTAGTGAGAAGAACAAATATAGTGCCTCCCTCACAATCTCACCATAACCTCTAGGATTTCTTGAGATTTTTCTACTGCAATGGCTCACAAACGAGTTCCGCCATGGGAGCTTTGTCAAAGCTCAAAAATAGTTGATTTTTGAGCGATTTTCATCAAAAAATAATCCAAAAATAATAACCTAACAATATTCTAATCTAATTCATCTAAAAAATAATAGATTTTTGAGCGATTTTTGAGAGCTTGTGAAAGCTTAAAAAATAATTTTTCAAGTTATGAGTCGCGATTTTTCTTGACACAAAAATATGTGAGTTTTGTATTAAAAAAAAGCATAAAACAGTGAAAAAAACAAGGAAACAAAAACCCATAAACCAATTTTCGTTTTACATAAGTGAAACACGATATCGATTTAAAGAAAGATTGAAACTTTCATAATATGAACCCTCTGTTTCGTAACAATACATTCACGAATGAAATTCCTTCATAGGAAACGATTTTAAACAATTTAAGGTTTCAATGTATTGATAGGAAATAATTTGAGAAACATTTTAAACTTTCATGTAATAAAACCTAGAAATTCAGATTCGAAATTTTCTTAGAATACTCAATAAAAATATGCATATGATATGTGGTTAGAAAACTCTCATCACGTAGAACAAAAATCTCAAGGTTTCCAAGATCAATAGCACCAAACGAGATTTAGGTTCTATATGCAAATTTCGAATTATTTTAATAAATAAAAAAATTATAGGTCTTATAATCATATATATATATATATATATATAGCTCTGATATCAAATGAAGAAGATAATTTTCAACTCATTGATCAATCCCAAGAGCAGGAACTAAAAGATGTTAATGCGTGGAGGGCTAGTATAGATATTTGGAGAGTTGCTGCTTAGTAGGACATCAAGTTACGTTAAGTTACTGATTGAGAAAATTATATTAAGTTTTACTTTATTTCATTAATATCATTTTATTTTTTGTTATTTTTTTGTTGACTCTTGTAATTTTGAATGTTTGTTAAAAATTCATATGATTTTTTCAAATCTTATAAATTCATATTATCATTTCAAATTTTATAAATTCTATTAAAAGAATTTAAAATTCAATCTTATAAAATTTTGATTGTAAAAAAAAGTGAAACTTACTGGCTAATTGGCAACTCATAGTGCGTGGCGTTATAACTTTCATATCTTTTAAATATTAATAGATTATGAAAAGATAAATACGTAAATTAAATTACACTTGTGAAATGTTTATTTTCACACCATGAACTATAAAATCGAACCTTGTCTAAATAGTAAAATGAAAACAAAATCAATAGCAAGCATGCTTGAAATTACAAATCCTGATAATTGATTTGTTTTGTATTTGTTATTAATCTAAATTAATTTGATTTCGTTAGATTTAATTTATTTTACATTTAATTAACTGAATTGACGATTTTGACTCTGTTAATTTATTCATTTTTCTTATTTTAATTAACTAAGGACAATAAAATAATATTTCTATTTATGCCAAAAAGAAGTAAAATTATTAAAACAAAATGAATTCTATTCATCTTTAATGATCGGTCCAGTTCAATATGAATTGACCAATATGGACTAGGCTCAATCACACATGATTGAAGAGTGAAGATTTTGGATTAGGTAAAGTGTTTCGTGGGATGAAGATTTCTACTTTGCGGTTAGTTGATGTTGAGCTCCTTTGGCGCGATGACTCTGGTTGGGGTACCTGCAATAATACTCCGACACTCAAGTCAATATCAATACTAGGCTTATGTTATATTTTTACTGAAATTAGATTATTGTACCTAGAAGTATACCCCTTGTTTATATAGCAAGTCTTCTGCCGCCATTGATAGGCAGTATGCCTTCTGATTGGTTGTTTCTAGGCTGCAGACTTATCTGCCTCAGTTGATGCCTTTCTGGCTATACTCCTATATGATAGACTGCCTTCTTAGAGTAGTGGCAAGCTGGAATTGTCTTTTATAATACCCCAAACTTAAGCATTTAATTGATTAATTTTAATTAAATAATTAAGCATATTTTAGTGAGTAAAATTAAGTATAAGGCTTAATTAAATGAATCTGAGTCACTTGGAGTTAAAAAGTGTACTCAGTGAAAATTAAGGGGTATAAATGGGTACAGGAAAAAGTGCCCAAAATATAAAAATAAAAATGAAAATATTCCTAGAATAATATTCCAGACTTTTGGGTAAAGTTTGGTAATTTATGGAGTTGAATAGATAGATGAACCAATACCCACATAAGCCACTTAACATAAGTTAAATGACCAAAGCTACTAAAAGAGCCCCATTTTCCCACCCAACCCGTCGAGCAAACAGAGGAGAAGAAGAAGAAGAAGAAGAAGAAGAAAGGGAGGGAGAAGAAGAGAGAGAGGAGGGAGGAAACCTTGACCGTTTTAAGTGATTCAAAAGCCTAAATCGCTTAGAATCTCGCCCTCTTTCATAATCCTAGCTTAGTTTTGAGTGGGGAGCATTGTGAAGAGAGATATTGCCTCTCAAAAATTCGGCCCTTTGTGAGATTTTGGGGTTTTGGGAATTTCTACCTCCATGGGAGCTTGAGGAACGCTCCTTGCTTGGTTGTGCAACCATTGGTGGTAAGATTCTACCCCTTGAACCTTATTTTCATGGAAAATTGCATGAGTTAGGGTTTATGAATAGTGTTTTAGGGTTTTTATGAAATGTTGAGTAGATTGGCTATGTTCAAGGAAGAATGAGGCTTAGAGTATGTTGAGAAAAATGCTATGAATGACATTTAATCGGTAGAAATGAGTTTATAGTGTTATTTTAGTATGCTTTGATGTTTGGAGAAATCTAGGCTTGGAATTATGGATTTCCTTGCATTGTTAGCATTGTTTGATTGTATTCCTTGTGTTGATAGGATTGAGGCAAGAGGACCAAGTGGAGTGACCAACCCTTGGGGTTGTGTGCAATTGAGGAAAGCTCAAGAGCAAGGTAAACCTTTGGACCTTGTGGTTGATCCCATTGAGTGTTCCACCATACTCCGTTGAGGAGAAATGGTTTATGAGATGTGATATGTAATTATGATAGTAATTGTATGCTCATGCATTGATACATGTTATGATTGATTGATGATTATTGGTTGATGTTTGATTGTTTAAGAGTAATTGAGGAATGGTTATAGAAGTAGCAATAATGAATGAGGTACTGGTTGAGGATTGTGATTGAGGTTATGAGTGATAGTATTATGATCAGGATGATTGGTAGGAACTTCCCTTGGAAACAGCCCTATGTGGATCTCCATGTGGTTAGAGCCTAAGAGGAACAGCCCTATGTGGATCCCTCTTGGAGGTTCCTAGATTGAGGAAAGGACTTCCCTTGGAAACAGCCCTAGGTGGATCTCCATGTGGTAAGAGCCTAAGAGAAACAGCCCTTTGAGGATCTCTCTTGGAATAGATTGAGGAAAGGACTTCCCTTGGAAACAACCCTATGTGGATCTCCATGTGGTAAGAGCCTAAGAGAAACAGCCCTTAGTGGATCTCTCTTGGAAGTCCATGTGATGCTTGTTGATAAGAATGTGTTAAGCTATTATGATTATGTGTACATCGAAAGTGAACCTTAGGGTGGAGTGATCTCCAAGGACCTCTGGTTTACTGTGATATATTCGTATATCTCACCCCGTGTTGTGGGGCATCATTTCAGGTACTGATAGAGGTGAGGTTGATCGAGGCAAGAAGCATGAGTAGATTGTACCTAATAGCTGGACATGTTGAGTTGCATGCCATTTAGCATTGCTATATGTATATTTTGATGCCACATGATGTATTTTGGAGGACTTAGTGCATGATCATTGTAGTAGTAATGGGTATCTGATACATGGTTACTTGCTTTGATCATGTTCCTTTTGTAGCTAAGTCCTTTGGCATGTATATGAGATTTGTAATTAAGACATGATGTAATATTGTAAGTAATGAAGATATTTGTGTATGATGCTTACTGTAAGTTAAATGCATGAATGTATTTTATGTATTGGATTGTTGAGCTGGAAATCATATTAGGTACCTAGTTCTAAATTGGGAAATGTTGAGAAAACAAAGTTATGCTGCCCAAATTTTAGTACAAGCCATGAGGAAAAGGGCATGCATGTCCCTTTAGATGTGTTTGTATTATGCAAGAACTAAGAACCATTTATGGAGAGGAATTTATATGATAGATTTGGACCGTGGTGTATGTATGGAAGTTGTAGATATTTTTCTAAGCTTTCCATAGAGACCAATGTTGTGTAAATTGGACAAGTACAACTCTAGTTAGAGGTAAAATACTAAGAATTGGTGAAACCTTCAGGACTTTGGCGCACCTGGCTCCAAACTTGGCGCACCGCGCACCATTGTGCTTGGAAGCTTCTGTTTCGTGGCGCAAATCGCGCCGGCGTTGGCGCAAATCGCGCCGGGATCACCAGCTGGCGCACCTGGCGCCAACCTTGGCGCCTCCAGCGCCATAGTGATCGAGAGCTTCTGTTTCGTTGACGCCCGCCGCGCCACATCTGGCGCCGGTCGCGCCGGGATCAGCAGGATTCGCGCACGCGTTTCGTAGAAAACCCATAACTTGGGCTACAGTGCTCCGATTTGAGCGCGGTTTGAACCCACGCGTCGCTAACGAAGAGATCCACAATATAGTAGAAGTTGTGAAATAAATAAGAAGTAAATTAATGGTTTAAAAATAGAATAAGAACATGATGTTAAGCTTGATTTATTTGATTCCGCAAGGTAATATGGTTATGATCACGCAATTGGATATTTTAAATTCGGCGTCGTTTTAAAAAGAAATATTTATCCGGATTTTTAATTGAGCCAAATGTGATTGTAACTGCGCTTAATATCATAATGCGATGTTAACAAACCGGTTCTAGAAAGGGGTGTTACATCTTTCGTATACTGCCTTATAGCGCGGTGAATATTACTCTATTATAGGATCTTTCCTTAGTTCTTAAGTCATATAAGGCGGTTAGGCGCAATGATGTCATTGCGCCTTCGGGTCTTCATGCGCGATGGAGACATTGCACATCTCATTGAGTCTGTATGTTTCTGGGCCTATTCTGGGCTTTAACCATTTATGGGCTTTATCCAGATCAAGTATGTTTCAAATATAAAAATTAATTTATAAACCAATTCAAATTCTTTTTTATAAGTGATTCTAAACATGAGAGTCAATTCCTAAATTCAACCAATTCTATTTACTTTAAAAAAGAATCAAATCATTTTCCTATTTTAGTAATTTCAATTACAACTCAAAATAACTCTAGAAAAGAAAAGATCCAACGCACATGGGCCATGGCACATATAGATTATCATTCACTTAACATGCTTAAAAGAACCGAATCGATCTCATGATAACTATGCATGGCCAAGTATGGTAAATGACAAAAAAGATTAAACACTTCAGTTGTCCATCATGTTCTTCTGATTTCCTTGTTTGCTTTTCTTTTTCAATTGTTTTCCTGTTTGCATTTTAATGCAGCTTAAAATCCCCGACAACTTTACGCGTTTGGATTTGTTTTATCAAGTATTTTAGTTAATTATGTTACCCGTATTTTATATTAAGTTCAGGAAATCAAATTTTAATCAAAATTTTCAGATATAGATAAAAAAAATTAATTTTTTTATCAGTTATATTACATAATGTCAATTTTATTCCATAGTTTTTTTCTTATCAATAATTTCATTCTACAAATTTATTGAGATACCATTAGTTTCTTCTTTCAAAAATTTGATTATTATTATTATTAATATTATTTTTCAAAATTATTAAATAATATAACAACACATTATATACAAGTAAAAAGAGTTTATATTGATAGGGTTAAAATTCCATCGGACATTGGTTATTAGCCTAAATTTTTATTAATGATGGATCCAAGAAATTTTATGAAGTGGGACAAATTATTATATATTATCAAATTATGAATACAAATTTTAATACCTGTAGCTCAACAGAATGTACAGATGCCAAAGCCACTCGCAATTTGTAGTTTCCATTGGTATTTACATAATCAAGATTGAAATTAATTTGCCATGTGGTTCCTTGGTACGTGTTATTGTCTTTCTTCCTGCAGAACAGCAAAGGAAGCTGATTGAGACATTAATCTGAGAGAGAGAGAGAGGGAGGGGGGAGCGCAACAGGGACAGAGGGAGACTTTATTCAATATTTTTACTGGGATTTCAAATTAGCATACTTTAATGTCTAGTTCAGTTGTGGCTACTACAAGGAGGTTGCCTTCAAATTCTGGTGCTTTTGCTATGACCAAGCACTTCTTTTCCAACCAATATTGATGCTTATGATCAGTATTGGAGTTGCTTTCATTGTTATTTTTCCTGACTGGATCTGTGATATTATTAGCTGTTCTGATAAGTGGTCTGATATATTTCTATTCTAGCATTCTGTATCTGTTCTGTTAGTTATTGCTTCAAAAACTAACATCTGCTACACTGCTACTCTAGCTTGTTGGTTGATTCATTAATAAAAACACGAATTTTAGTGCTCTATTAGCATATGGTACATTATAGAGAACTGTAGATTCTACCTTTTATTTTTAAAATTTATGGTTTAGTAAATTTTACTTACACTGCTGCACTAAACAAGATTGACATAACCAAACCACCGCTACATTGAGCCATCAATATTAAAGCTAAATGTTATAATTAGCAAAAATTTGATACAAAGGGAGGATCATGAAACATACTTACTCTTTCCATAAGCTCAGAGTAATCAATAGGAAAGGTACATCAGTCTCAATAGAGTCACCATTGCTATCTCCCGAAACAGAACAAGTTGCTAATTTTTGATTTTCGGATACCATTGAAGAAGCAGTAACTCCTCTAATTCCGACAAGCCCACCATACCATAACCTAGGCTATGAGTATGTCATTAAATATTAATTACCCACCTCAACAGTATGCTGCAGGTCACTATTGGGCTTAATTTTGGGAATTCCCTGAAGTTAAAAACAGATAAAATAAAAATGATTTAGAAACAAAGGACCACAAAAAAAGGACCACAACAAAGTTATTAAAAAATGACTTCCAATTGTATTGTAAATAAGATAAAATACAAAGTACTTAAATAGGAAAAGCTCAGATAACTCACATCATCAGCACAATCCGGTTTATCAATATGATCCGGGACAAACAGTTTACTAGATATGTGATATGGCCGCAGCGTCCTTCCAAGAGCAGAAATGAAATTTTGGTTTCAACAAATAAATGAACAATTAGCAACAGACTGCGAAAATTTTTTGTAAATTTTATGCTACAAACATCTAAGATACTAAAACTATAAAAGCATCAATGAGAAGGGGAACATGGAAAAACAAAAAGGGATGCTTATAAATAAAGTTGAATGGCCATATCTCACAGTCTTTCTTTCTCTTCTTTTCCTTTTAACTTGGAGCAACTAGTAATTTTTTGCTACTTGATTCAGAGAGTCACATGCAATTATCTGGATTGGGGATAAAACCTCACATACTTCTCTAAGAAACGAAAATTTTAATGTAAGAATTAAATTTCGTCTTTGCAAGAGAGAGAAAACTTATATAACAGGAACCAAATTGGATGTATAAATAAAAACCATTATGATAACGTAAGACAAGTGTCTAGAATAGTGTAATTAGAGGTTTGTAATTTTTTTTAACATTCTTGGCATCTAAATGCATATAACTCAGAAGTAACAGTGACTTTGTATAAAAGAAAATTAAAAAAAAAAACAGAAGTAACGGTGACTGATTCTCCACACTAAATTTCAGTGTGTTACTAGCTTAGTTTCACATAGGGAAACTTGCAAAGAGAAAAACTAGCATTTTTGGGAGGGAGTCCTTGGAAGCGTAACACAAACCTTCTAAATAAAATTCTACAACCTAAAGAAATAGTAAACTAGAGCTGACAAGTCCCTAGGAACCCAACATACAGATTTTAATGCTGTCTCTAACTAAGGCAATTATAAATTTCAGAACCATATCAAGTGACATAGACATATCAAGCATGCCAGACAAGCCATTAATAATTAATAAATACCATCTGAACTAATGTAAAACTTCCAATTGCAGAGTCCCATCATTTTAGGTCATGCTCTATAGCATCCTTTGATAAGAACCACCGCCCCTAGCTTTGGTGCTCTAGCAAATCGACATTACTAAAAATCACAAAAAGCAAAAATCGCAAAGATATTCACAGTTTAACATCATTTTTAATCAAAGTTTAATCTCATTCTGCGAAGCTGAACAGTTTAAAAAATTATTTCTACAAAGTCGAACCCTAATTTTCAGTGAATCTGAATTCGAGTTTCTGAGAAAGCTGAGGACCTACCACCTCCCGAACCCGGTTCACCGCTTCTCTGACGGAATTGTCAAAATTGTCAATGATAGATACACTAAACCCACCTTTTGAGAAGCTGAACCACTGTGTGAGTGCCGATGAAGCCAGCACCACCCGTCACCAGAATCGTTTGGGATGACGACACCATTTTTGAGACTCGCACAAAAGAGAATGAGATAAGAGTTTGAGGAAAGCGTTGGAGTTAGAGAGAATGGAAACGATCAGTTATTTATTTGGTAAATGGATAGTTGGGGATGTTTATTTCGTATCCTTTTTAAACTTTTCACCGTTACCTATATACACTATACTGCATATTTTGGGGATGTTTATGTGGTATCCTTTTTAAACGTAGCTAAACTATCGTGCCTAAGTAGCGTTTTTCTTGTAGTGTATCATCATATGTTACACTAATTAAAAAATATATATAAAAGGTAATTATGGTCCGTATATCAAAAAAATATATTAAAGGAGATGGAATTTGCAGTGACCAATGACAGCATGGAGCGCAAATGAGAGTGTGAGATTATGTTGCAACATTATTAAACTCGGATTGATCATAAACTCAAGTAAGATGTTAGGTCAATAAATCATTGCTTCAATCAATAAATTATTGGTCGAATTAATTAAACTGAATTCATATAATAATATATAATAAATATAAAATTAAAAGCATTATGTTAAATAAAAAAAAGTTTATCTACATGTAAAAGTTGCAGGAATGAAAATGAAGTGGAAAGATAGAAAAGAATTTTAATTTTAACAAATTATTCTCATCATAATATAAAAAGTATCCAAAATTGGTCAGGTGTATAGAATAAGATACACTTCATTTTTTACTTTTTTACTTCTATATTTTTTATGTATTAAATAACTCTTTAAGTGATTTTCACATATACGACATCAATTTTCAATAGGAAAGAATAGTATTTATTATGGAAGAGATAATCGCGCATATGGTGAGAGATAACTGTGCACAATAGAGATTAAAAACTAAAAGGATAATATGTGTGCAATAACAATAAAAGAAGTAGGATTTCAAACCAAGTATGTACGTGTAGAAGTTAAACTTTTTTTTTAAGTAGAAATTTAAAGAAATCTTCATTCAACTTCTTCTAACCACTTTATTTTCGGAACACAGCTCTAAAGATTACTTCTTCGTTAAAATAACAAATGCTTTTGGACTATGCCATTAGAAAAAGGACGAGACGAGACTAATAGGGAGCCTTTTTTTTTACAAGAATTTGCATTACTCAATGATCGAACCTGAGCGATGCAAACTTCTAGCTAGGCGTTCCAACTCAGCAGTTGAGCTATCTCTAGGAGTTGTAGAATTTAACTTTTTATCTATAAAAAAGAATTACTTTTAGTGAATACAATTCATATTTAATAAAGTATTTGGAATCCATTGTGTGGTTCTAAGCACCCTATTTTCTCACTTCTTAGGGGTAATAGGATTGGGATTTCAAAGGATTTTAATGGATTATTTTCGGACAAAAAAATCCGTTAGTATTTGATTAGAATTTTAATAGATTAAAAAAAAGTCACGTGGTATTCGATTAGGATTTTAAAGGATTATTTTAGAATCCGTCCAAATCTGTTGGTATTCAATCAGGATTTTAAACAATAGAATCACAATATCGTGGTATTCAAAAATTCGACGATTTTAATGAATTTTCTATTGGTGTGGATTTCGTGAGATTTTTTAGTGAAAAATATAAATAAGATGTCTCTCTCACAATCTTACCATAACCCCTAGGATTTCTTGAGATTCTTATACTGCAGTGTTGTTTTCTTCTTCCTTTGACAGGTTGACTGCTCGAAATTGGGTTCCGCCATAGGAGCTTCATCAAAACTAAAAAAAAAACGTATTTTTGAGCGATTTTCATCACAAAACAACCCAGAAACAACATTAAATCAACGAGATTTAAATATAATCTATCTCAAAAATAACATATTTTTGAGAAAAATTTTGAAAGTTTAAAAAGTGATTTTTCAAGCTATGGGTCGCAGTTTTTTTGGAAGAAAAACGTATGATTTTTGTATTAAAAATAACATAAAACAGTGAAAAAATAACATGGGAACTAAAACCCTCAAACCAATTTTTCGTTTTACATCAATCAAACAATATCAATTTAAAGAAAGATTGAAACTTTCATAATATGAACCCTATATTTCGTAACAATACTTTCATGAACGAAATTCCTTCACTATAGGAAACGTTCTCAAACAATTTTTGTGTCAATACATAACTAAAAACTTGTTTCTTATCGATTGAAAAAAATTTGAGAAATTTTCTAAATTTTCATGTAATTAAACCCAAAATTTCATATTCAAAATTTTCGTAGAATATTCAATGAAAATATGTATATGATATATGGTTAGAAAACTCTCATCACGTAAAACAAAAACCCCAAGGTTTTCATGATCAATTGCAAAAAATTCCAAACGAAATTTTATCATGAACTTTAGATTCTATATGCAAATTTAGAATTATTTTTATAATTAAAAAAATTGGGTCTTATAATCATATATGCATAACTTTGATAACAAATGAAGAAGATAATTTTTAACCCATTAGATATGTAAAAAGCTGTTGTTTAGTAATTTTGAATATTTGTTAAAAATTATATTATGTTTTACTGATTGAGAAAATTATATTAGATTTTACTTTTTTTTATTAATTTCATTGCATTTCTTTGTTATTTTTTTATGGGAAATATTATACTTACAACTTATTTGTGTTTACAACCTTTTACAACCATATCTTAACCGTTGATTTTCGTCAATCAATAGTTATTATTTTCGCAAATCAAACTCATTAAATAATATTTAATTTGGAAGTTAACCGTTGATATATGGTTATTATTTTCGCAAATCAAACTCAAACTCATTGAAAAAATTATATTAGATTTTATTGATATGTGGAGAGTTGTTGCTTAGTAATTTTTTAGATAATTTTCAACCCATTGGTAAGTTTATTTATTTTTTATTAACATCATTGCATTTCTTTGTTATTTGTTTTTATTGACTCTTGTCATTTTGAATATTCGTTAAAAATTCATATAGTTTTTAAAAATCTTATAAATTCATATTGTCCTATCAAATCTTATAAATTCTATTAAAATCCTTTAAAATCCAATCCTATGAAATCTTGATTGTAAAAGAAGTCTTTTAAAAAAGTCTATAAAGTCTCTCCAATTCTAAAATGTCTTTTAAAATCTGTAGGATTTTTTATCTCAAAAAAGTCTTTTAAAATCCTAATCCAATACACCCCACTTAGCATTTCACCATATTAAAAGGGAGAATAAAATACCTTTTGAATCCTTAATAAATATCATGGAGACCAATTTAAATTCTTAGGAAAAAAATCGACTCATGGTTTATTTGAAATTCTAAATAGACACATATTAGTTCTTTTGAAGGATTAATGTAAATTTTCTTTATGTTTCAGATGGATCATAATTCCGACTAACTAAATCTATTTTGAATTTTAAAAGAACCATAAGTCAACTTTTTTTCTAAGGTATTAAAATATGCCTCATCATTTTTGTTGAGGATCCAAAAGATACTTACTAACAAAGGAAAGTAATATAGTACAAATTATGATCATATGTATAATTTTTTTTTTAAATTTCTTATGTTAGAAGAGATAAATTTATGTCGTATACACATAAAAATGTGTGGAATCTATATTTTCTCTTCTTCTTGTTTTTATCTCTTTCTATTTTTTCTCCAAATATGGATCTCACGTAATTTTATATGTGTGTAGAAGATAAATTTATCTCCTATTGATATAAAAAATAATAAATCAATGAAAAAATACAACCAAGCTCTGCAAGTCATTGAATTATTAAAATCACTTTTTTTTTTGTTCATAAAAACACATTTGGTTACTTATCGTCTTCATGCACGGAGTGGCTTCAAAAAATATTATCTCAAAAATAGTTATTGAAATCTCTTTTTAAACTTTGATATCCAGCCTATTTGGCATCTTTTATTTTTAAGTTAAAAATTATTTTTAAATTAAAATTAAAAAAAGTTGAGAAATAAAATTAAAAGCTGTTTGGAAGTTGCTTTGATGGTTTTAAAGAAAGAAAAATAAAAAATTTATTATTAGGAGAAATTATTAAGATAAATGATTAAATTTATAAATATAAATTTTGAGTAAGAGTAAAACTGTAAAATAAATATATGAAATTAAAAAGCTAGCATACATCTTAAAAGAAGGTTTTCTTGTGAATTTTTAGCTTTTAGCTTTTTTATTATAAAAAAAAACTCTTTATAATAATGAAAACTTTTGTTAGAGCATATTTAACTAAGCTTCTGTTTTTAATGAAAAGATAAACTGAAAAAAAGACATGCGAAAACACAGCTAGAGTTGGCTTCGACTACTAAATGCAATAATATTTTTTAAATAATTTTATAATTTTATTATAAGGAAAAACACTTCACTTATTATAGAAAAGGTATCTTATATTTACCTCATGTCAAAATCCGTGCTTTATTTTTTTTTAAATATGGAGCCCACTCTTTATTCTAGATGCAAAATAATAAAAATATGGGACCCACTCTTTATCAAAATTTCTCTTGAAGAAGTTTGAATACTGATCTGGATAAATATTACACAAATACAAGGCCCAAATCAAAGATCTTCACCATTAAGCAAAATCTTTAGTCAAAGAAGGCTGCAAATCTCATCTTTATCCCCAAACTCATGACAATCATCAAGCTGCACAATATTAATGGTCTTATGACAGCAAGCTCCACAACAATAAAGAGCTTATCTCATCAAGCTCCTCAACATTAAACATGGCAGCTCTATTACTTTGCCTCCAAGACAAAGCAAACCTGATCACTAAGTAACATCTCCCAAGCTGCTCATATGTCCATTATAAATACATACCTATTGACACAAAGGTAATCATCTTCTTCCACATAATTGAAACCTGCTTGAACCATAACTGACTTGAGTGTCGGA